ACTGTTACGGTCTACCTTTGATTTGAGAATTTGTTAGGAAAAAGATTCTCCACTTTAAACAATAATGAACTATGGAAGTATCATTAATGTCAATTATCACCTCATTAGGAAAAACAATAAAACTACAATTTTGTCAAGATGTTGATGCATTAATTGAAGCATAAGAAGCTTACGACCGAAGCTTGACACATGACAGCCGATGCATATCAAGATGGGTCGATATGGCTCATAACTGTTGTTTTCTTCTTCATTTACTTCTTATGATGTTTTAAGTTATTAATGATATATCACTTGCGATAACTGAACATTGCATAAGAGTTCACAAGTTCCTGTAGGATATATCACAAGCTTATAGTTCAAATGATACTTCTTTAAAGGATGTTGCACCAGGTTGTGAGCTTATACCTTACAGTTTCTTACATATTTATACGCATTTGTCCCCTTGTAACAATTAGAAAAAGTCATTTTTATCAATATAAGGTAAAATTGCAAAATAAATCACGACCTTTACTTAAATCGCAATTTAAGCACAACTTTGCATTTTTGTCAATCTAAGGCAATACTTTTAAATATTGCAAATTAAGGTATGAACTTAAGTTTCAGTCATTGATGAAAATGTGTGTCAGTCCATATTTTCTAATGAACAGACTGAGTATATCCATTTTTAGTTAGGTACAAAAGACTTGGATATGACTCTAATTATTGATGAAGTGCTTGTTGATGAAAGCTCCAAAGAACTCTTCGTAAACAATCAAATAGGATGTGTTTGAATATTTGAATTTTATAAAGTAACCATGGTGGATAGGAGAAAAACTTCGAAGTTAAAGGCTGATAATACAAAAGAACTTCTAACCAAAATCAAAAGAGTTGTCTCAGTCTAAAACCGCGAACAAGTCTCTTTGAGGAAGTCTCATAAGAGAGCTCGCCTATAAAAGTTTGACTGATTCCACTCCATCCATGATCTTGTGATCCAAGTGTCTCACATATCAGCTAAACTTACTAAACATGAGAATGGAGGTGAATGACTCATTCATTATGAACCCCTAAGTTGGCCAGTTCAAGTTCAAGGTCAAGAATAAGGGTGTAAACTAGCCGAGCCGAGCTCGAGCACATGTTGCTCAAGCCCTTAACGAGCTGAACTCGGCTCATTAATTTAAGGAGCTTTTAATTGAGCCCCGGCCTTAACGAACCTAAATCAAGCCAAACTATAGAAAAATACAAAAAAAAAAATCATCTTTTCAAGAATTATCGAGCCGAGCTTTCGTTAACTGAACGAGCATTAAATGAGCTCGAGCTTGGCTCGTCTATCAGGCGAGTCGAGTCGAGCCGAGCTCGGGCCTTACCGAGCCGAGCCGAGCCGAGCTCATGAGCAGCTCGTTTAATGTAATGGCTCTACCCATGATATACCATAAATAAAAAATATATATATATTTCATCTCTTCTATTAAAGCAAACATAAATTTGATTTTCATCTCTTCTATTAAAGCAAACATAAATTTGATGGTCACATCAAATCTTAACGGCAACGCTGGTAATCTAGGCAGAAGTAGGAAAAAATATACTTTGTACATGGAGGAATGGAGGCCTTATGATCTACAGTCAAGGCAACGGATATAGGAGGGTCTAAGATGGTGCGTTTTATGATTTGAAATTTAACTTGCAACAGTGGAACATGTATTCTTCCATCTTTTGCTTCGTGTTTTAATTTGCAAAAAATGAAAAGTCGTATTTGGGGGGTGCATTCGTGTGGGGTTTTGAACGATATTTTGAGACTTTCTGAGATTTAAGATTTTTAAGATTTTTATATTTAGGAAGAACCATATGAAATAATAAGCTTGTAGATGAGATTAGGAGCGAGATTTCGTATATGGTTTTTTCTTTTGAAATTTCAACAAATCTTAAAAAGTCCTAACAAATCACGCCTCAAATAAGTTAAGGGCATGTTTGTTTATAGAAATTTTTGGTTTTGTTTAGATTTTTTTGTTTGGTTTGGTTAGTTTTGAAAAAGGTGGTATGGTTAGTTGTTAGTGGGTATATTAAAATAATATTTAAAATAAAATAATTAAAATTGATTTAATATAAAAGTAGGAGAGATATGATTTGATGTGATAGTTAGTTAAAATATGTGAGTGGATGAATAGTGAATTAAGGTTGTTGTGGTGTGTAGGAATAATTGATATTATTTAATTACAGTAATGCTCCTCTACCCACGGTAGGCACATGTTAATATGTCCACCGCTTATGTGGCATGCAGATGTATTTTTTTGAACATATTAATATCACCAATGTGTGCATGCCAGATAAGCGATGGGTATATTAATATATGCCCACCGTGGGTAGGGGAGCATTATTGTATTTAACTGTATTGATGATAGTGATAGTGAGGTTGAGTTAAAGAAAGTGGTTGAGTTAAGATGTTAGAAATTTTGTGAAAATTTTCATAAACAAACTCCATTTAAATATCTCTGGATTTTGTAAGACTTTTCAAAATCACAAATGAGTACCTCCAAATTTTTAAAATAATAAAAAAAAAAGTTAAAAAAAAAAGTCTAAGTTAAATACAACAAGATTTTTAAAATCTTAAAGTCTTCAGAAATCCAAATTTGAAAAAGATGAAAATTTGTATCCTAATTTGAAACAAAAAGTCGTGCCTTAAATTGCCAAAATTCAAAAGTTTTGCTTAAAATTGCAATTGAAGTAAAAACGTGATTTGTTTCGCAAATAGGCCTCACATTAAAAGACAATAGAATGGAGGTACAATTGGATACAATTTTCATTTTTAAAATTTTTAATCCACTAATGAATAATGATGAAAACAATTTGTGGAATGAAAAACTTTTAGAAGGGGAATTTTTGTAAGATGAAATCAATAATTTAAAGTTGAAATTTTAATTTTTATGTGGGTTTAATATAAAAGAAGTAAAATAATACTTGATGTTAGAAACATGTGAGTAGTTAAATACTAAGCTTTAAAAGAAATTATAACGTAATGATTATTTAAAAAATAAATAAATAAATTGCTAATATAGAGAAGAGGAAAGTGCAGTGGGTGAACAATGTATTTTCCATGAAAATTTTGTCAAACACGAAGAAATTTACTTTGAAGGATGAAATTATAAGAAAATTAACGTCCATTTGCTATAAGCTCCAAGTATATCACAAATTCGTAGCTAGACTTTCCAATCCAAAATTCGTTAATGGTGAAACTACAAGTTCAATTATTCACAAATCATCTATTAATATTTTTAAAATTATGTAATATATTAATAAATTATTTAATTTACAAAAAGATAATAAACTACATATCTAAATAACTTAAAATATTATAAATCATTAACTAATCAATAAATTTATTGATAAATGTCAATATAATTAAATATATATTTTTATTTATGGTAAATAGTATAGAAAAAAAATAACAATATGGTTGAATTTCTTTGAACCGACTTTTAAGAGTTGGAGTAGTTCCTAACTATTTTTTTTTTTTCTTGTGGAGTCTTTCTAACTATTTTTTCTTGATAGATGATTAGGTTTTCCGAGGAGAATTGGACCGTGAGGTGAACAATTACATATCCAATCGGACAATTAAGGTTCTTAGAATTATTGTTATGATGATGGATTTGCCATCGGTTTCGAATCTCACATGGATCTCACATAGCCTATGGTCAGGTCAACTTAGGTTGTGATTGGATATGGATTTTATTTGGTTTTCATTAGTTGTTTTGTTAACTATAGTTGATTTTGAAAAATGTGTTATTGTTAATGTTAGTGATATTTTGAGTTTATATTAAAATAATATTAAAAAAAAAGTTAAAGTTGATTTGATGTAAAAGTAGGAGGGAGGTGGTGTGAAGTGGTTGTTAGTTAAAATTATGTGAGTGGATGGATAATAAATTAAATTGATGTGATGTATAAGAATGATTGATTGGTAGTATTTAATTATAATGATAATATTAAGAATAGTAGAGTTGGGTTAAAGTTTAGGTAAAATAAGTGATTGAGTTAAAAATAATTGGTTTTTTTCCAAAACATATCTAAGAGAGACTTCGATGCCCCAGTGAGAAGGGTAGAAACATTATAATTAAGAGCAACAATTATAAGGGAGAGAGGTAGACCTAAGAAAACTTGGAAGGAAATATAAAAAATGATTTATAATATTTAAATTTGAATGCGGATATGTGTTTTGATCGAGCACGACATGTGATCCATATAGTCAATCCCGATCCCACTTAGTGAGATTTTAACGGCTTGTTGGTTGTTGATTGATTAACTGATATCCAATCACACCCTTACTAGCTAGAGCATATTACACGAGTAAAATGCCCAAATAATCTAGTGACGGTAGGGGACCAAACAAACCCCGTGTCATTAACCTACGCTCCTAAAGAGAAATAAAAAACAACAAACTAGTGTAGTTATATGCTTCTTCCCAAACAATTTCCCTCCAGTTTGTCCCGTTCTACATCTCTATCATCGTCTAATGTCAGAAAAAAATACGTGTTTTTTAATTTCATGTGGCCCACCCTAATTTCCCATGCCATTCTCACGTACATTATTACCTATATGTTGCCTTTAATCTTCGCAACTCCAAAAACAAGCTCATCAGTCAATATACGTGTTAATGTACGTGGAGAGGTAATGATTTAAAACTATAGCTATGCTAAAAGCAATCAAACTTAAAAAATGGCCTATAACCAAGAGACTACTATGAGGAAATAACTTGTACCAGCATCATTCAATTGCATCTACTGGCTCAATATCGCAGCTAAAGACCTATATGCAGACTAATTCCAATCAATTTTTAGATCCATAAAAGTCAGATTAATAGAGACAGCTTCAAAAGGGTATTAAAGTTTTATCCATGATGCAAAATAAGTCACTGTCTCAGCAGTAACCAAATATCACAAAGGAAATAAACATAAAAGCCCATGAACTAGGGTTCTCAAAAATGTCCTTTTGGAGAGATACATACTATGGTACAAAGGCTGCTTGTACAGGTTTCAGGTTTTTCCATACTTGTCGATGTAAGCCTGCAATTGTAATGAACAGATATCAAACAATAAAAGGATTATATGGTTACCAAAAGCATTATGAAAAGCTGTCACCCGTCCAGTGAAGACACTAACCTGAACTAGCTTTGCAAGTTTGGGCCGAGACGAAGAAAGATACAACTTAATTGTTTCACCCGTGCCTGGAATCTGGTGGGGTTGGAATGAGCAGATAACCTTGTCAACCGTCTTTCTAACTATTAGTTTATGAGCATCCCTGCTCAACAAGCCTTCATTCCAAGTCGGTCTAATCAATTCCTTCACGACTTCTATAAGTTCCGACTGGAAACTTTTCAAAGCAGCCTTTGATTCAGTTTGCACATGACCATCTCTCTTAAAATCAACAACAGTCTCCACGTTTTTGCTAGATCCATCAATTTTAACTACCGTCTTGTGCCTTTTCTCGTCAACTTTCAGTTTATTATCACTACTGGAGCTCATTTTATTATCTTTCACATTATCGCCAACGTGAACTGAATCCAAAGGCCTCTCCTCAGGTGAATGCACAATTAAATTCTTGACAGATGAACCTTGGTCAGAATGTGAAAGCTTCACCCGTCCATCTTTAACATCTGTTTGGTCAATGCTATCCCATATGGGGTCATACAGATTTGCTTTCATCAACAGATTTCGAGTTACAGCATGTGACGGACGAAAAGGGGCAGATGGCTCCCAATCACCAGAGGATGACTTAGTGTTGGATTTGTCTGGATTTACGCCCCCAAATTTATGATTACGTAACAACTTTTCCGACTCAGAACAAGGAACTGCTGAAATGTCTCTTTGTAAGGAAGAGGATACAGAAGCATGACGCTCAATGCCACTCTTTAAAAGATTGTCGGTTCCCAGGGCAACATTGTTCCAAGAGGACGAACCAAGAGATAACGGCTGCCTAGAGTGAGAATAAAGTAAATCGGAGGACCTTAGGTCCCTCTTTTTACTATTCATTTCCTCTACCGTTGTTCCAAAAGCAGAAGTTCTAGTTAGATGATGATTATCATTGGATGTGGCAGAACTGGAGAAATGCCCAGTATACATCACATTCCTATCAATTAACCTGTCTTTGGCCAAAGGAACGGGCGGGTAGGTGTAGCTATTCAAGTATAAGTTGAGTCCAAAACTCCCTCTACCATCCTCTAAAGGAGTGTCTCCTAAAGCATCATTCTCGTGGAGAAACAACTTCTCAGAATCATAATTTATTTCAAGGTTCTTCTCACTCGGCTGTGGCAGAACACATACATTTGAAGAAGCTGTGCCCCCCAGCCAACATAAGACTTTAATGAGCAAATAATGAAATAGATATGTCCAGGATTAAGATGAATTAGACGAGTCCATACCAAAATAAATATACTTGCAGTAAAACATATTAATATATACCTTGTCTCTCCAATCCAGCATTTTTCTTCCAATCATCTAATCCATCCTTTGTGTGAAGGAACCTACATGAATTTCCTTTGATGCACCATCCTTTGGCATGAAATTCACACATGATCCTCATTTTTTTGTTTTCTCTGTCAAATTCAGCGATCGAGGAAGGTTCCCTGAACCTTACCTGGGGAACATGCAACCTGAAATACCTCATCACAATCAGAACTAACTTCCATCGAGGACAATAGAAATAAAGGTGCCAATATAACAAATTTCAATGTGCATCATTATATCAGTTGTGCAGCATTTGGAATTCGAACAGGAGTTTAACCTTGGTGGCATCTGTGTTATGTGGGCCAGAGTTTCTGTCTCAGTGTCATTTGTTTCGCCAGCAACAGACATAATAATATTCTCCTTCTGTCTAGAAGCATCAGCTGAGATAAAGCCAGCATTAAACTCTCCCACTAAAGGAGCTTTTGTATCATCATCCCTAGATGTTCTTTCTCCTGAAGGAACCCAAAAGTAAAAACTTTCAGATTTTGGTTTTCAAAATCAAATCTAAAAAATGATTTATTTAAGACAGTCTATCAAGGTAACTAAATACTATCTCCCGACTATCGACCATATTATCTTCATTTTAATGACAACCGTAAGTCCTCACCATTGACGTGTAATTCGTCTTTCTCACTTGACTTGGAAATTTTCACATGGCCAACATCTTTCTGTGCCGTGGGGATATCAATAAGTGGGTTTAAAAGAGACATTCCTTGAATCACAGGACCTGATTGTATGTATTCTTCATCATCCTCAAGATCCATGTCTACAAAACAGAAAAATAAAACAAAATAAATCTTCAGAAAGACATACAGCACCAGATGCAGATGTGGATCCCTATATGTTGATAAGGAGTTTTCAATATTGTCAGCATACGGATCATATGCCCCACTTACTATAAGAGCTTAACAAATTCAAATACAAGTGAAAATCTGTTGAACTAATAAGGAGCAGAATAAATGAAAAAACACAGTGCAAGATTTATAATTTTTTTGAGTCATGGTCCAAAACTCCAAATCAAATAAAGTTGCTTTACAAACAATTGAGCTTAAGATTCTGTTTAACAGCAAAGGAGCGCATTAGAAGAAATGGTTCCATGAGTTTATGCTTCATACCATGGAGCATTAAAACAACAGCAGAAAAGGTGGAACTACATGGAAAAAAAAAAAAAAAAAAANNNNAAAAAACGAAAACTCCAACAACTAGCGGGAATATGAAATTAATATAACAATGATTAACCTATTGCTTGAGAGTTGCAACTCAATCATTTCTTCAAGGATTAAAGTATCTTCACATAGCTACACAAAACATTATCAATTTTTTTTTTGTTTTAGAAAATATTTTGTGTGTCATAAAACATATTTAATAAGAACAATTTAAAAGTGAAAAACCAAACTAATCGAAATACTCCAAAAATATAGCAATTATCAACACCGAAACTAAAACCTCTACATCATACAGCCAATAACACACGAGAACAATTGTCTCGTGACACATACCCACATTACTTTCTCACCAATCAGGCAACTACCGTGTGACAGAACTATAAGAATAAGTAAATAACAATAGACCACAGTGACAGAACTATAAGAATAAGTAAATAACAATAGACCACAGTACCTTGTGTTGATATGCTAGTTATATTAGCTAATAGTTACAATTTATATTTATTTGGAGTTTCTAGAAGTTAGTGGGTTAACTGTCCCTGTAATAACGTTCCAGAAGCCACATCTATATAACTAGTGCTGTCTTGTACAATTCATTTGAGATGAATGGAAATATCTGAGATTCCCAAATTTTGTATCTTTATTATGCAATCACAACTTAACTTTAAAACCTTGTTTTAATACCAATAATAGGATTGCTTACATGTTGTGGTTTCAAAAGTTTAAAAGTTACATATCATGATAGCAGTCCGACAATGAGATTGTCTAGCTACAACCGCTTGTCCTCACCAATGCTCTAGGCTCCATTAGGAAAATATTTGCCGTCATATTTGAGCCGATTCATTAAATACTATATTTACACTGGAAGTCCTATGCGCTGGTACAAAAAATGTGTGGACATGGGACTAAATCTCAAACTCTATTATTTATCCATCTAGTTTAATTAGTACTTAAAATGAAACTGAACAGGGTCCCTCCACCATCATAATCTGAATATCTCATTTCCATGGACACAGTGTTCCATTAGAGTTGAATAACTGAAAGTTTTTGAAATCTTTATGAAAATCCAAAATGGAGCTGCTTATATTCACTGATGCCACTGCATTCTAGGATATCATATACAGAAAACTGTCCCATTTAAGAAAATTCTTAATCTCACAAATATTCATTTTGGAAAAATAGTTGTCAAATAAGATGGATGCCCACACAAGAAGGACGCAACTTATTGGTACGAATCCAACAAATCAAACCTTTTAAGGCTTCATGGTCGGTCTCTAGGGTTTGTGTGTTCTATTGACTTCAGTCCGAGGACACTACATTAAGCAATTACATTTATTTGCTTAGAATATCCTAAAATACTAAACTGCCTCTATTTAAAGAGCGAATGAAGTGGAGAAGACAACAGAGAATGGAACCGATGAAAGGCTACAGAGCAGGCTTCAAGGTTTTATAGTTTCGTTGGGGTAGCCTAGAAAAAAAAATCTCCACACAAAACGACAGTTCTCCAACATGGCAACATGAAATCGCAAGAAGACAAAAGAAATGTTGAGCGAGTGCGAGTCTCCACAAATACCAATGACGTTATCCAAGAAGATTTCACAAAATTTGACAGATGCTTACTCTCATTTATGCCTCGTTAAAAAGTAATTATCACAACATACTTGCCAACCCTGAACAATGCAAACGGTTAGATCCTCCCGAAGTACTGCGACGTGGCAATAATTCAACTTTTCGTGTGATGGACATTATCCAAGAAGATTTGACAAAATTTGACAGATGCTTACTCTCATTTATGCCTCGTTAAAAAGTAACTGTCACATCATACTTGCCAACCCTGAACAATGCAAACTGTTAGATCCTCCCGTAGTACTGCCACGTGGCAATAATTCAACTTTTCACGTGATGGCACGCGTCTCACATGCGACATGACATGCACGACCGTCGACAATAAATCACCAAGATAAAACACTGTGGAGCGACCCATTGGATGATTGGAAGGATAACAGTCGGCTTGCATGCTCCTTCCGCATTTAGTCATAGAAATCTCATTTCCCATCGCGTGGAACTGGAAGGGGTCTTACTTGACAGAGAATCAGGTAATAATTTGATTCGGAATTAGAAACAGTCTTACAGACTCTAAATCAGGATCCAAAATTGGTTGTATCGCAGAACAGTTCATGTGCACAAGATCACCTGGATAAATTTACTTCAGAAACATTTACAATAACGAAACAGTAATTCCCGATATGCTCGCATTCAGATAATTGGCTTAAGCGAATGAACAAATATAACAAGCTACAGGGCACGCATTTCCAAATTATTGAACCCTAGCAATGCAGCAACGAGTAGATCAAATCATTGATGTTAATTGATTAGCTGAAAACGATGCAAAGCAAATACATATCGAATTTTAATCGAGAACGAACAACTAACCAATTACTTGATCCCCTTCGCGTAATGGAGTTAAGTCCTCGCCGAATTCATCTTCTCCGTCCTCCTCCGCATCTTTAGCCTCCACTTCTTCTTCATCAACCTCTTCCTCGACTTCGATCTCTTCCTCCACTTCGATTTCTTCTTCTACCTCGATTTCCTCCTCAATCTCCTCGTACTCGACATCCTCGTCTCCATCGTCCGCATCGGCATTCAATGTCTCCGGCGGTGGAGGGGTGATCGCCGCGGCGGATGACGCCATTAGGGTTTCACAACGGCGGCAAGAGCTGGAGACCGCTGGCCTTGTGCAATATTTGGTGGCCTTTTCTCAGATTGTGCGAGTGTGGGGAGAGTGGGGTTTGCCAATTTGGGTGATGTCAGCGGCCTCTGGTTTTTTTAGGGCCGTTTACAACAGTGCTACTACTGTGTGCCCTGGCACACCTAGCAAGGTGTGCCAAAACAATTTAAAATGAATATGTTATGTTACAAAATGAACATGTTTAAACATGTTTACACATGTTCATTTTGTAACATAACATGTTCATTTTAAAAAAGACTTGGCACACCTTGCTAAGTGTGCCAGGGTGCACCTAATTATTTGCGCGTTTACAAAATGCAACTCCGTCCAAGTCAATATGTATGGAACTCTCACAAAATCTTATGAAAGCTTGCTATAATAATGCTTTTAGGGGTCATTTACTTTGTAGGATGGGATAAATATAAGTTATCCAACTTAACTTTACATGTCAGCAATCAGTCCCTTTTTTACATTGTAGAATGGGATTTGCATATTTGTATCTCATATTTACTTCAAGGGATTAATTGGCAAATTACACAATCCAAAGACAAATTTGCCCTCATGTCTGTATGTATCAAAATCGATCTCTCATTTCCATTCTTCAGAACCGTGCTTTAGACTTCTCCATCTTCAAAACCGTGCGCGATTGTTGAAGAACGACGGAGTGAAGACCGTGCAAAGAACATACCGGATTCACGAAGAAAGGTAACCGATTGTCTGCTCTCTTTCATCGAAGCTGTTTGTTTTCTTCTGGACATCGAAGCTGTTTGATTTCTGCGATTTTTGAAGAACGACGGGTTTGATTTTCCTCTCCTTTTTTCAAATTATTTATTTATCTGTGGCCGGATTTGAGATTGTTAGTCCGTATTTCTTATTTTTTTTTCAATCCGTGAGCAATTTCGAAACCCTAGTTTATACTGGCCGATGATAGGAATTTTGAAATCCCCAAATTACACAAACGGTTGCAATTTCGAACCCTATGTTCCACCCTTAAGCGTACGTATGTGCTGGATTTTCGAACCCTCTCAAATTTTGAACCATGGCAATTTGTACTGAAGTGGCTGGCCGAATTTGGAGTAAACCTGTTTGAGTTCATTTCAGTTGTATTTACAGCCATTTGGAATAGATTGTCTTCATGGTTAATCTTTGCCATGAATTTATTATCTTTGACATGAGTAAACCTACTTTGTACTAAATTTTGGGCAGCCTTCTTGTATGTACACAGCAAAAGCTGTATCACTTCCAAATTGGAATGTTGGGCACAAGTATGTTTCTTAGATTTCAGAAATTTTACAGGAATGAAAAATTTGTTGGGCAAAAGTTGTACCTACATATGTCTTGGCTGACATAAATTGTTGGCCTCAATGCAGTTGCACATTTGAATTTGCCTCTTAACTGACACTGTTCTTTATTTTAACACACTTTGCTTGATTCTTCCCGGTACCTTGAGAGAAATGACTCGTACATTATTAATTTTCACATTTTCAGCCAAGACATATGTCAAATACTTCTCACACGAGTTCAAGCAATCGATATAGCCGATCCTCTAGTAGTCCATTTGAGGTTAGGCTATGTGACTGTGGCGACGCAGCCGATGTGTTCACATCAATGACGACTGATAACCCAGCTCGAAGGTTCTGCAAATGTCCTCGCCGAAAGTTAATTTTTATCTGACTTTGTCGCAATGTTATTTGAGTTTCAGTTACTGTTGTTTTGTTTGAGTGATTCACCTTTGTTGTTGGTTCATTCAACTTTGTAGGCTGACAAGGCTTGTAACCTTTTTGTATGGATTGATCCCGAGTTGCCGCCGTTCCAAAAGGCTTGTTTTAACAAGCTTAAGGCTGAAAAGGACCGGTTGCAGGAGCAAATGTTGTTCAAAAATGTAATGGAGAAACTGCTAACAGAGCGGGTAGACTTAAAATCTTCCGAGAAGAAAGCGTTGGAAAATGAGAATAAAGTTTTGGGCCTCAATTTGGAGATTGAAGCAACAAAAACTGTAGAACTGCAGGTGAGACTCGATGATGATGTCCGTAATGCTCAGATTTTGGAGAAGAAGCTCAAATATATGAAATCTACGTTTTGGTGCATTGTTTGTTTTCTTATTATTCTTTTGTTTTTTAAGTAAGGTTGGGTAGAGTAAACTATGATTATGTTCTTAAACGGGCTTCTACTTATTTTGCGTGTAATAATTGATATTTTGTAAACCTACTTTGTATTGTTGTATTAATGGCGGACTACTATGCATTCAACTTCATTGTGTTATTGTCTTTTCAATTTCAAATAATTACATGCATTATTGGTCACAATGGATGAAATTGAGCATTGAGTGGTCGTATACGTCATGGTCAAAAGTTTGCCCTTTGACACGATGTGCTATGACAACTCATGCCAGGTCTATATTTAGGCTTAACCTTTTTCTGTAAAGCCGAGCTGATTGGAGTAAAGGCCTTCACGAGCATGTGTACCAGCATGCGTAAAAGAATTGATTTGGTCAAAATATTCACAATCGAAATGACATGATATGACCCCTCAGTGCATGTCTGATTAGAAATCACTTGCCGACCATCATTTCTAGCTTTTGCCATGTGCATCATTACTGTTAACGAACCATTCTAGCTCCCCTATCTAAACGATACACTTCACAACAAATAAATCGACAAACGCAAAAAGAAAGTAAA